AAGCCAGATACTTGAAGTCAACTTTTGTGATAATGAATGTGAATTTTATCCTAGTGTTATGACAACATGGGGCATGCTATAGTCACTCAAGAAGGCCTTAGTATAGAATATGATGAGGATGTGTGCTGTGATGTCTGCCAATCTGTAAGTTCTTTGTATATACTTTGTACTGTAAGTAAATGTATTAATAGAAATAAGGAGAAGTAATTTTTTGGTTCATTTCTGTCGAGATTACTACCAGAAGCTTTGGAAGGTACTGGGTTGTTAGATTTGGGCTGAACCCCCCCTCCCCCCTCCTTGCCCCATTGCCAACAACAACAACAAACATACAAACAAACAATAGAGCTCAGCTATCTTGAACACAATCCCATCGGTTGGAAATCATATAAAATTATACTTTCAACACTGGTATTGGTATCAGTTCCTGTCACTTGTCATCTAAAATCTTTAGCACAGTATAATAGTGATCCTGATTCCCTGTGCTCTATGAGTTCTTTAATCAAGATTTTTGAAACAACTGCTCCATGTATGTGTTCTCTGTTTTTACAGCCTGATAGCGAGGAAACCAATGAGATGGTGTTCTGTGATGCCTGTGACATCTGTGTTCACCAGGCCTGTTATGGCATCCAGAACATTCCAGCTGGTAGCTGGCTTTGTCATCCATGTCGTAAGGGCATCAAAAATTCTCCCTGTGTTCTATGCCCTCTTTCTGGTGGTGCAATGAAAAGGACTAAGTAAGTTATGGAGATTGTATGTATTCAAAGCCAGTTTTGTATTATCTGTTGCTTTTTAATTCCAGGGTTTGATTTTCATGCCATTAATGCTCGTGTTTTACTGCTGTAGCTCAGGTGTTTGCTGTAGCTGTAGCTCACGTGTGTAGCTCATGTGTTTTATTTTTATCTTAGTTATTTTACTATTATAAGCAGGTCCACATCAGCCTTTTGGCTGCCGATTCAATATTGTTCATTCAATCTTGTAATAATTATTATAAACCTGCTCTAAAAAATAAAGGATTGATTGATTGATTGATTGATTGATTGATTGATTGATTGATTGATTGATTGATTGACATTAGCCTTCAAAAAAAATCTCAGTTAACTTGTCTAGGAAAACCTTGTGGCTGATCAAAAGAAAGCCTGTTTACAGAAACAGGAATGTGAAATTTTATACTGAGTCCAATTGGACTGTTAACTAGAGCGTACAGAGCAAGGCTGTGATCTACTCTGTAAGAAAAATTACGAGAGTTTTTCCAGTCGCCCAAAGGCAAAAGTCAGTCACCTGTGGTACCTGGTGACTTCTATAGCACAGCCCTGCAAATAAATCCTGATTTTTCAAACCTCCTGGTAA